TCACCATTTTTATCTGAGGAATAAATATACAGGGCTTTCATTTCAAAACTTGCCATCCACGTTATCTGCGTAAAGAGGCATATTCGTGCAAAACGCCGAAACACGTCAACAAATTTATTGGGGGGGGGGGGAGGTTTTTCACGTGAAACTGGAATCCCTTCTTTCAACCCCCTAACCTCCAGGGCTACGCTACCACACCACCTCAAAATTTCTAAATGAGACAGGGGGTCGAGTGATAGATCAATTTGAAGGGCTGTTGAGTCTGTAGAATTTGCCGTTTCATTTTTTGAATTTGACCTCAGTGTTGTTCAAAAATGCCTATTCATTTTTAAACACACCTGCTTTACCTACAATTTTATTACAGCCCCGCCACCAATCAATTTGTTGACTGTTGAGGTGTTTTGGCGATTTCCACGAATATGCCTCTTTACGCAAATAACATGGGTGGCAAGTTTTGAAATGAGAGCCCTGTATAATGATTGTCGAACAAAATTAGGAATTGGCTTGTCATTGGAAAATATTGGAGTTCAAACCTCGTCAGATAAATTCCATACTGAACCGTCTGCATTTATAAGTGGTGTGGGCTTATTGCTACTGTACCATGTTTAAGTTCAACATAATACACCAATTAAGTGAATAGGAACAAATCGTTTTTTATTAGTAGATGTAGTGTTGTGACCTTTTTCTATATAGATTTCCGATGCATTTAACTTTTTGTCATTCCAATAGAAATAGATCAATAAAACCAATACATCAGTGTCGTCTGACTTGACAACAATGGGGCTCCCAGTGGAACTATGCACTAAGTGAAAAATAAGCCGGGTATCAGCTTCTTCATGATTAGACTGTAACAATTCATCGACAGTAACTCCCGAATTTTTGACCTAAAAATAATTTGTATTTGAAAAAAAATCAACTCAAAACAGAGTACTTGTTTACCTTAATACTCATACTTCCATCTTGAAGGCCTCCGGCTATCCAAAGAACTTTTTCCGGTGGTAGCTTTGGTGACGACTTAATTAAGTATTGTGTCACAAACTTGATTAATGACATTTATTTACGACTAATGTATAATGTGCGTATTATATTTGTGATTTTGGCAGTATAATGACATATGTTATTCCTCCAGGGATTAACGACGAGTAGCGGGATTAATGGTCATTATTCCACAAAAGTGTCAGTGTCAAACGTGTAGTGCTTGTGGATTTGTATTGAAAATTATGAGACGGATGAAATTTGTTCATTGAAAATCTCAAAAAAATTAATTTGTCGTAAATAAAGTAGAGTATACTACTCGCAATAATGGCTATTATTCCCTCGGAATGTTACTCCCTCGCCGCTAACGCGGCTCAGTTCGTAATAATCCTCGGGAGTAATAGCTATCATTATTGACTCGTGGTATAATCTACTATTTGTTTGATGTAGATTTCAAAAAACTTGTACAAACTATCCGGAATTTTATCTCTACAATTGATAGGATTTATGGCTTTCGGAGTTACATATACTTTAGTTTTGTCTTTTTGATGGTCTAAAATTGACTGCCGTAAAATGCCTGCTGCTTTATGCAAAACTATATTCTCATTTTCCCCACATTTACTAGGTAGAAACTCTTCCTCAGATGAGTCGGAATCCTCTTGATCGAGAGAAGAACATATTAATTCGTATTCATGTTCTCTTGAAATGGTGAGAGTAGGTTTTCCAGGAAATGAAATAAAAGATATGGTATCTCCAAAATGATTTTGAAGTTTTTTTCTTAAATTGCCAGTACTTTCTGAAATCTCATAATCTGCATTTTGTTCTTCTATTATTTTTTTTAAGTAATTACACAGGGACGAGAGTTTTACACATTTCTTTTGCTGTAAAATTTCTCCTGCAATTTTTTTGAAAAGTGTATTAAAAGCGTCTTGCATAGAATTTTGTGTTTCATCAGCAGCTTGTTTTCTATTGCAGGCTATTAAATTTTTTTTGCTTATGTATTGAGCGTAACAAGCACTGTGATATTTTGCATCCGCAGCGAAAAGATCAGTATAAAACTTCATTCTACCTTGCATAACATCATCACCTCTTTGTACAGCGCTTTTTAAAATCTTTTCTCGGGTACTAGTCCCTGTACCTGTACTAATAGATATTAGGTTTTTCTTTCTATAAGTGCCGCTTTTACCACAAATTAAGCAGGCAGTTTTTATATCAAACTTCTTACCACTACGACCGCTGCTTGATGGAAATACTTTGGTTATGTTTGGGTTATTCACATTCACTACTTTGTCGATATTATTTTTGCTGCAAAAAGATTTTATGCAACTTATATGATATTTGAATCTTTCTGGATTAGCGTTTATTTCTTCTCTTCGGGACAATATTTGTAAAGAAATAGCATCTTTTCTTTTTTCTGCTGCAGAAAAAATTGTCGCATAGCCCTGTCTTGTTGGCTTTTTAACACAAGGTGATTCCGCCGTTAATGTTCTGCAACATAAAATACAAACATTATCCATGACGTCCAGTCCGTCTACAAAATTAAACAAATTTAAAGTAGTAGATACCTTCGTAAAGCGTAAAAAAGGGATAATTTCATTCATTTGTCAAATATATCAATAAATTGGACAAGTGGTAGATGCTGACGGGACAGACCAATCATACTTGAAATTATACGGAATAATAATAATTTCATTCACCATTACATCAATTTCAAATAATGGCAAAAATTAATTCTCGAATTTAATTGTTATGTTTGAATGCATAATTTTAATAATCATATTAAACGGTAATTTTGGACAGCGTACTTACAAGTTTTCCAAAAATTATCGATAATTTTCAGTTAACTTCTTATGTTACTATTACTGAAAATATCATCTTACCTGTATAAACTCCTAATGCAACCAGAACCCGATAAATCAGACTTTTCATAAATATAACACAAAATTCCATAAACAAGGAAAATGCACTGTAATCGACGCTGAACGCAGTGTACGGCGTCGCACATAATTTTTAATTCATGCCAGTGGTTGTCAGCGGGCTACGGGAAAGAGACGGAGAGCCACACAACTTCTAGCGCCAGATCGCGCTTTGTTGTGTTTAAACGGCTCTATTTATTTTATTATTTAAAATAGGTCGGTATATAATTGAGACGAAAGAAAGCCAATTAAATTTGCCAGTTTTTGAGCAAAAAATTTATTAAATACTCCAATATATAAAGGAGTTGTCGCAGGTTAGAGCAAACATATAATTTACCGATTCGCGCCGTGCCTACGTAATCACTGATTTTTTCAGTTTTACTTTGATATTTTTCAAATAATGTATATACCATATTAAAGAGAATAAGTTTGTCTTGAATCTAAAGGAAAAATCATTTTATTACGTTTAGCGGTTTAGAAGTTGTACGAGGTTGAAGTTGGAAATTTGAATTCCAGTATATTTTTAGTTTTTTGCTCCTAACTTAGCTCTCGACCAATGAAAAAAGTCGTCCATTTTCATTTTATATGCAGAAAAATATGCTGAATCCTCTGGTACTAGTCTTGATAAATTATACCTCAATACCGGGTTGCTCCCTAAAACGGAGGCTTTTGCGCGCTTGGCCGCCGTCCTATAAGGGTATTGAATGCGCCGTTTAGAGAGGTTCATCGCGATTATTGCATTGGGCTACTGTTGGGCCGGTTGGCGCTGGATCCTTCATGATAGCGATTTAAAATTTATCGCAAAACAGGCGGAGGAAAGAGCCATAGGGTTTGCTGCGGGTATAACAGAGACAGGCAAAATGACAAGAAGAATTAATTAATTTTTTACAAAAAAAACTAGATAATTTTTGGGATTCTGGTTTGTGCTATTGTATTGCCAACACACATAAGATTGGCGCTTATTAAAAAAAACACCATAAATTGATTAACTTTCTCGTTTTTTTTTCAAGTTTAAACTACATTTTTGTAATTTTTTCGAGAACTTGTTTCTGTTACCGGATTTCTGAAAAGATAGCGCTATTCGTCCTTATATTATAAATCGAATGCAAAAAAGAAATTTGATATAATTTCAACTGTTAAAAAGTTACGTTGAAATTAAGAACGCAATGCATTCCTTGTTTCATTCATCTCATTCCCATTTCCCACTAAGGAGTATTAATAGGGGAGGAAGAATACAATGATAGACTGCGTTAGGTGCTTCGCGCAGGAAAAAATATTTTGGCATTGAGGCGCATTCAATCTTCAATCGCCTCGATTCAATCCCCTTAAGCACAATGCAATTTTGGAAGTCATTGTAAAAGACATTTGCGTTTTTACGAAAGACTTCTCAAGAAAAGATTTTGTTATTATATCTGCTGGTGGTTTAGAGAACGCACGTCGCGGGATTGAAAAAGACATGAAGATAAGAAGATATTCGATCTTTTATCTACGATTGGTCTACAAACTAACTTAATTTTATTTTCAGTATGTACGCTGTGGGGCAACATAACAGTAGGTACTTAACGGACTTATAGACAAAATAAATATTTTGATATTTGAAAGACTTAAAAACGTTTCTGGGATATTTCTGAATTTAAATTCTATCCTAAATTCTACATTCTTTATTTTTAATAGGTCTTTAGATTAAAAAAATATTGCAAATATTAAAATAGCTCAACGATGTGATGAACTTATACCTAAATTAAGTGGTAGCGGTGAGAGTACCTAACACAAATTCGGCGTCTTTTGATTAATTAACGTCAATCTTTCTGTTAAGGAGGATAAAGATGGGACATGAGATGTGAAACAAATTAAAATTACTTTATTTTTACTCAACATACAATCATTACGGATACGAAACAAAACAAATGAACTCTATGTCCTAATTGAAAATTTAAATATGCCTGCATTTGTCCTTTTAACGGAGCATTGGCTGCTGACTGGTGAGGAGTTGTGCTACGTTCTGGACTACAAAATGAACAGCTTTTCAATGAATCACGAGATCGAGTGCATTGACACACAATGATTTAGTTATAAATAACAAATTTAATTTGTAGATTAAGTGTATACTTAAACTACAGGATGAACAGGTAATATTTCCTCTCCATTGCTATCAAATTGTGAAGCCACCCAGGCCAGGCCCCATTTGAGGTCCATTAATATATATTTGAGGGCTTTAGTCCATTCTTCGCTAAAAATTTTCGCCCTCAAGGTGTACTTGATATTATCAGAATCTTCAATTTTTCCATTAAAAATTCTATATGGAAACTTGAAAATCTTATTGTTTTTTTCCAACTCTTCAACTTTTTCTGTAAACTGTTGCACACGATCTAAAAAAGCCATCATTCCAATATCAAATTTGGATCCCATAAATATTATGTTCGTCCTGAACCCGTATAAAGGTTTCTTAATCTCACCAATCACCTTAATGTTCTCAATATATGAATGACTCTAATAAGGCACTGGCCGATATCTTCCAAAAGTCAAATTAATTTTCCTGGCCAAAGCGCAAAACAACAAAGTTGTTTGGCCCTAAGCAGTGTTAATTTCAGCCCAAGCAATTGGCGCCGCAGGAAGAGTACTCAGACAAAAATTGTTGATGGTACCAACGTGACCTTTGTGCCAAATGTGGAAAGTTGCATTAAACACATTGGTTCATCTTAGTTTGTCTAGGTGAGCTCGTGCCGCTTCAATTCGACATTCCACACTTTTACCCTCACCTTCAGCCATCAGCCATTCTCTTTTGTGTCTTACATATTCCTTTCAATATCTATCTTCTTGAGATATTTTTTTAGCATTGTCCTCATTTTCAGTTATAGCTTCAAGACAATCAAACTCTTCTTTCTCAAGGGCTTCTAGTTCATCTAGAAGTTTCATTTCGTTATCAGATATATCCTGAACCTCCTTTTCCAACTCTGCCAATTTCAGTTCATCTTTTTCAGCGTGAAGCTCTTTATAATACTCACAACACGCGTTCAAGTCTTTCTGAGTCTATTGAATAATCAGTGCATTCATCACACAAAGGATGATCAATATCAGAGATACTTGATAAATGATCGAAAAGAGATGCTTTAGCTCTAAATTGTTGACTCAATAAATCCACTTCGTTTTCATCCGAAATAAGCATAAATCCACTAATGCCATATCGCGAATCAGATAATCTACACGGAGGGATGTAATGGTCGAAACTTGTAGCTTGTGATTCAAAGTCTGGGTCTATATTGGAAATGTTGGAATGGATTTGTAAATTTAGGTCAGCAGAAATGTGTTCACTAAAAGAATTTAGCGAATCGTCTAATTTTAAGTTTTGTGAACATCTCTGGTACATGAAAGAAACAAAGATTTTATCCTCAGCCATGACTTCAGCCTCATTGAAAAGGTTTCAAAAAGACTTTCATTCCATACTGCTTTTACATTTTTTTTCTCCCACTATTATCACAGATAATTCTTGCAGGCGATTTTAATATCGACTGGGATGATGCGGAATCAAGCGATACCAAAGCTTTAATAAATCTATTACACTTATTATTTAATTTAATAGTATCGGGTCTTCAAAAAAAAACCAATCAAAGATTGCTATGGTTTTTTAAACGTATGTCTTAGCATAATTTTCCTTCAATTTTGTCAATGAACGTTAATGTCAAAATGTCATGTCAAAAAACCTGACCAATAAAGAAACAATAATGCGACGTACTTTTTCGTAATCAAAGCAATCTTCGATTGTTTTTTTTTTTTGGAGACCCGATATATTACATGCGGAGGTGGAAAGTTTCATTATTGTCGAGAGATACTATGGTTGCAACCAATTCTCGAGACAATAATGTGAAAACTTTCCACCGAATTATGTATACTATTTTATTTTGAACCATTAATTATTGAAAAAAATAAGGTAAAAATTTGACAAAAATGGAATTTCGACTGACAGTCTGACACCGACATTGACATCTTATGAAATTTCAACAATATAAACACATGTGACATCTACTTCTAAATACAAACATTGCACCTGGATTTGAGTTTAGGTGTGAAAGAACAATTTATCAGGGCCGAAAGTGAGTTCTCCAGGCCGAAAGTGACAGGAGAACAGTCACTTTCGGCCTGCTTTAAAGTAAACAAAAGTGAAGTGACATTTTCGAACCTCCCAACCAGTAAGGAATGCATTAATTACATATATGGTTCAAAATAAAAGTATTTGTTAACCAACCAATACGCATCACCAGTCATTCAGAAACAACGATTGATTATATCAGGTCTTCAAAACAAAACCAATCAAAGATTGTTATGGTTTTTTAAACGTAGGGGAGAGTCTGGAACAGTGGCCACATTTTTATATAAAAATATAAATCATTAAAAATATTCACTTTTTTGAAAAGGTGATGTCATACATCAGTGTTTTAGACCTTTTGGCATCATACCAACCTAATACTTAAACTTAAATATTTTTTTTTTTTTGAAAATCAGTAGTTTATAAAAACGCTTACAAAGTGGCCAGTGTACCATCAATGATGGTACAGTGGCCATAACTGCAGGGAACACTGGCCACATCTCAAATAAGTGGAAAATAGGTAAAAAATGCTCTTTATTTCAAAATAAACGAGTTTAGTTCACATTGTACGAGGACAAATCTACAGGAAAAGAAAAAAGATTAGCCGTTCTTGATGTTCCACCGACTTTTTCAGGTTGCATCAAATGAAGAAAAATATCATGGGCTAGAACAGTAGATATATCCGGAACATTTGGAGATATAAAATGGCTTCCGTGGTGCCTAAAGAACGTTATATCGAACTCCTCGTCGTTTAACTTAGTCAATATGCGACCAACATAATATTTTACTGTTTTTTTCGTCGGAAACTTGACTAATACAAAAGAGCCTTCAGTAATCGTTGATAGATCATTCATTAGATGATTATCTTCTTCGTCCGACTGAGCAAATATATCAATGTCCTCAGAATCTGTCAAATGTTCGATGCTCTCATCATCTGAGGAACTGCTTTCAGGAAGTTTACGTTTTTTTTGGGGTTTGGTGCAAGGTTTTAAGTTTAAGCTATCTCCGAGGCTTCTTTTCACTCCTGGATTTTTGTTTAAACTAGATTTTCTTGCTTCTTTTAATTTTTCCTCCTCTTGAAGTCTTTCTAAAACTGGGGTGTCCGTCAAAATTTCTGATTTTTTCTTTTTCCTCTGAAACTTTTTATTTTCATCTGAAGCTGTCGCCTTTGGAAATGGTTTAAGGTCAGTGGGCAAAACAATCAGTTTATCGTTCATTGAATTTTCATCCCTAGCGCTTGTCGATGGCATATCAATCATGACTTTCTCATTGTCAATAATTGTTTGATTCAAGTTGTCTTCATTCGAACCGTCTTTATGTTTTATTTGTATGTCTGTTACGGTTGAAGCGATAAAGTCATCGTCATTAAAAACGTTTGGGTTGAACGGGAAAATCCCAGTCGATCGAAATCCTGAAGTGCAGTTTCGAGCAGTGAATGCTAAAGGATCAGCCTCACCCAAAATATCAGCGATATCATAAATGGTGACTCGTTTTCCTGGATTAGGCTTTCTTGCACATCTAGGGTTCAAGCCGTGATGGAGTTTTGCCATGGTTTGGAAGTAATCGCTCAAGTTCTCTTCTTCTTCTTGAGAAAATATCTTATTTACTTTATAGTTTGGTTCTAATCTTGGTAAGACGGGTGAGTTCCAATCAATTTCCTCTCTGCCATCCTTGATTTTGTCTACATATCGCCTTAAAGTTGTGCGAGGATTTTCATACCGAATTGCAGCGGCTTTAACTGACAGGCCACTATTTTCTATGTCACGAAGTGCGTTGCGCATAGTTTCAGAAGAAGTTTTACCTATTATTTTATTTGTTTTTTTGCGACGAGGCATTTTATAGCGTTTCTGAAATAGAAAAAATTCAACATTTAAGCACCATAATTATGAAGGTACAGTGGCCACCCCTTTTGAGATTAGCGAAGTAGTGGCCACTGTACCTATAGCAGATGGTGGCCACTGTACCATCAGTCACGTTTTAAAATTAAAAATGGGTTACAAAAAAAATTATGAAGAGGATGCAGGAAAATAATATGTCAAAAAATACTTACATATATTGGCTATCTTTTGCACCGGGTCTCAACTTTTTTCTCAATGAGAACACTGGAATATAACAAAAATGCTTTCCCCAAAGATATTAACAAAGCGAGCTAAATTTTGAGGTTAGGCAATTACTCAAGGATAGGACACAAGGATACTGCAAGTGACGTCATGAATAGAAACAGTAATTGATTATATCTTTTCCCACTAGATGGCGCAACACAGTCTTTGTAAATAAGAATTCTGTGGCTACGTGGCCACTGTACCTGCGTGGCCACTGTTCCAGACTCTCCCCTACTTCGCATTATTGTTCCTTTAGTCAGGATTTTTGACATGATATTTTGACATTAAAGTTCTTTGACAAAATTGAAGAAAAAAATATTGCTAAGACATATGTTTAAAAAACCATAGCAATCTTTGATTGTTATTTTTTTTTTTGAAGACTCGTTATATGCGGTAACTTCAATTTTTGGGGATTAAAAATGTGAAGCTCTCAGGACTTTCAGACCATGAAGCCTTGGTGGCAGAATTGACGTTGTTTGGTGCAGTAGGTGCCCAAAAAAACTTTGGTAAAGTCGAGAATATACAGCAAAAGAACCTTTGATACCTTCAGGAGTTTGGCAAATTGTGTAAACTGGAGCCAGCGTTTGGATACAGAGGATCCTTTACCTTTTCTTTGCGAAAAATAAAAGCCAAAACAAAAAAAAAACAAAAAAATATGGGTTACTAAAGGTATCAAGGTCTCTTCAGAAAACTTGTTATCTGCATACTCTATAAGAAAGTTCACTGACTGCCAGGCTTTCATACGGTACTTCAATAGATATAGAACCATATTATTATACAAGGCAGGTTAATATTGAGGCAAAAAAAAAATCCACTACAGGAGACGAATCAACAAGGCAGAAAACAAAAGCAGAGAATACTGGAACTTGATTAACGAATTTAGAGGAAAAAAGAAAAATCAAAAAGTTTTGTTGATGTTGAGCCTGATGACAAACTTAATTTTTTTTAATCTGCCGTTGTACTAAAACAAGTGACAACGTCGCGAAGGCATAAAAATTTGTTTTTCCACAAACGTCAAAAAATGACGACTTTTTTAACCTCAATTCTTAATGTTGAAGTTTGACTTCACAGACGTCATTTTTTTGGTTACTTTTTTGTCCGCGCGTTCCGTGAGGTACTTTTTTGTACGCTCACGGCCGGACAAAAAAGTGACGTCACAGAAATTTCCTAGATTCCATCGCTTTGAACACCGTTTGCGGAAAAAGTCGCATGTTTTATTCGGAGAAAAGAACTTTTTGTGGCTCGTCTAAAATTGTCGGCCTCACTACGTTCGGCCGTCAAACATTTAGTCTCGCCACAAAAAGTATCACTTTTACTCCTAATAAAACAATATACTATTATTTGTCTCGTTAAAAGTTGGAAAATAATAATAAATTAAGAACATAATGTGAACAACTCAAGTGCTATTTTACGCAACAGCAACGCAGAAATATTTCTTTTGTTGCATGTCCTGGAAGCGTATTACCATTGTTTACTATTATACAGAGCAACTGTGCTCCAAGGCGCAGTGGAGAATGGATTAGCAAATACGCGTATTTTAGGTTGCCAATGTTTACTGCGATTCAGCAAATCGCCAAAACTATAATGTTCTGGATCGCATTAAATGTTGGCAATAATATACACGTGTGTTGCTATTGGGCATTCCTTACTGCATTACAGCTACTTAGTAAAATTTTATGTCAGAATATTGCTTAAAAAAAAAACTGCAACTATCATTAAAGGGAAAAGATGCGAGATCCAAAATGGAACAAACAGCATGCAACAGTACAAATTTATATTTATTTTAGGTAGGTATTATCGGGGATAATACCACGAGAGCTTCAAAATTACCGATAATTTTTCACGATTGCGTGTTTTCCATAATTTCACGAGTCCGTAGGACGAGTGAAATTTGCAGAGAAAACACGCATGAGTGGAATTTTCCCAAACTCATTGAAAAAGTCGATAGTTATTCCAATTTTTAAAAATGGTGACACTGAGTCTCCCGCTAATTTTAGACCCATCTCATTAATAACCACACTTTCAAAAATAGTCGAAAAGTTGGTAAAGATACGAGTTAACTCATTCATTGATGGGCATGGTATTTTGAGTGTGTCTCAGTACGGATTTCGGGCAGGGAAAAACACGAATGACGCGGTATTTTCTTTCCTAAATAACCTATATCTGAGACTGAATGAGAGAGAACAGGCTGCAGCAGTGTTCTGTGATCTT